AAAAAAAAAAATTAAAAAAAATGAAAAGACAGAAATAAGTAGAGCATTCATCACAATGAGTCCACTCTGTTCCTCTCCTCCCCTCTTCTTTCGCTTTGCCTCTATAAGGAGGAGGGAGCAGAGTGATTAGCCATTTGCATACGCTGGATAAGATTAATGCCCCCGACAGAGGCTCGCGTCACGTACAAGACGTACGGCCCGTGAGATCGGGCCGCCTAGATGTCTAGCGACGCTCTTAGAGTCTATTACTTTTCACCCGCGCCCATGCCGGCACGGCGAGACAAGCCGTGTCTCCTTCCCTGAGACGTTCTCTCTATATACAACTCTCACTCCCTTTCTCTTTCTTCCTCCATCGCTCTTCCCTCCTTTCCTCTTAACCTTTCTTTTGTGTATACCTCTTATACACAGTAAAGGCTTTCCGTATAGCAGTCAGGCCTGCCAATTTTCGCTCGTCGAGGAGGAGATCCTCGCAGTTTCACATAGTTGGAAGTTGTAACTTTAAGACATACACAGAAAGGCCGCTGTGCCCCGTTGAAGCACATGCGAATACCATCCTCATGTGCACGGGTGTGAACGGGTTTGCCTATCCCATCGCCCTGTCAGGCCCCGTGCGAATAGGCAACCCATCCGCCCACCCGTCTGGATGGTGGCTACTCCATGGATCGTGGGTCTACTGTACGTAATTGCCCAGCAGCGGCCACCGTGTATCTAACCAAAAAAACAGTAAACCCTATGAATATTTACCATAATACACTCTCGGTCTCCATATTTTACATGCCTATATTTGTATCCATCTCCCCGCTCGCCCTCGTCTCCCTTCACGTTCCTTACTAAGTCGCTCTCTCTCTCCGACACAACGCGGATTCCCTTTCCCTTTACTCGTGGCAAATCACATGCCTCCTCCCTCTCTCTTACTCACACTGTGGCACGGGCGCATATTGAACCGATCGTATAATCTGGCGGCAGTCGTTAGTGCAGCATTCAAAGGCCGCAAAGGGCCGCGGAGCGACGGGCTCAGATATTTATCGAGGTGGAGAAGAGGGGAGGAGCGTCAGAGGGGTGCGCTGAGCAGTGGCGGGAAGTCTTGAGCGAGAGGGGGGGGGGGGAGAGAACGTATTGGAGGGAAAGCTGGGAAGTGGAAAGACGTTGAAGGAGGGGGGAGAGGGATGGGGTTGCCCGCTACACTGATAAACCATGTGTGCAACTGCTCAACACATGTAAGTGTAAGTGTGCAACTTCAAGTTGAATTCTTGCAAGCGTTCACCTCAGTAGACTTGCAAGTTCAACTTGCTAGTTGTGCACTTGTCTTCAACAGATGAGCTGCATATTTTGATGTCGACAGCTACCGATTTGAACACTTCTGGAAGTGTTCTACTACGGAGTTCAACACTTGCAAGAATTCAACTTGCAGTTGCAGTTGTACACTTACATGTGCTGAACAGTTGCACAATCTGCCGTGTGTCAATAACCCACTAGACACCCTCCCCTCC